TTTTTTTTTTTTTTAAGATTAAGGTATTGATTTGGGTCTTAAAATACCTAAGGAGAGGAGAAGGGTGGGAAATGCTCACATTTCTGAGAAGAAAGTAAAGACTACAAAGTGGTCAAGGGAGTATGGATGGAAATACTGTTGAGAATTAAGTAATAGCATCACATGTTTCAGGGAGGTCAAGGAGCATGAGTCCTGAGCAAAGGACTTAGTGACTCAAAAATCAGCAGTGCACATGAAGAGAATAAAATTCTAAATGATTAAAGTTGTAGCAGTTTTACTAGTTTTATAGAAATGAGTTAGTGATAGGGAATAAATGACAGTCAATATAGGATATTTACTCAATTTTGGCTTTATAAGAAGAGCAAAGCTGGCCATGGTGGCACATGCCCGTCATACCAACACTTTGGGAGGCTGAGGGAAGAGGAACACAAGTTCAAGCCCAGCCACAGCAACTTGGTGAGACCCTGCCTGAAAACAGAAAAAGGACTGATGATGTAGCTTAGTACAAAGGCCCTGTGTTCAATTCCTGGTAGTACATAAAATAACAACAGAAAAGAAAAAGAAGATAATTGCTGGTATAATAGAGTTGAGGGAATGATTTTTTAAATTTTTGCTTTCAGTGCCAAAGTGCTTGTGGGGAAACTCATCAAATGAAATTGAGTGAAAGTCTCAAATACTTAGTCGAAAATGTTAGTGCCTTAGCTTTTTCAGGGCTGCTATGACAAAATACCATACAGTAGGTAGCCTGTAAAAACATGTTTCACAGTTGTGGCAGCTAAAAGAACAGCATCAAGGCAGACTTAGAATCTGATGAGGAGCTGATTGGTGACCCACAGATGCCACCGTCTCCTCGTGTCCTTACAGGATGGAAGGGGAGAAGGCAGCTCTCTGGGTCTTGTAACAAGGGTACTGATCCCAGTGATAAAGGCTTTTACCTTGATGACCTAGGCCCCACCTCCTGACTCTATGACCTTGTGAGTTTAGAATTTTACCACAACTTTTGAGGGGACATAAACATTCATGGCAGTTCATTAGGAGAGAAGAGACATTGACCTGGTCCCAAAGGAAGAACAGTATAGGTAGAGATGCAGACATCTTACGAAACAAAGGACATGGCTGAATATGGTAGGGAAGATGTGAAAAAGTTCATGATATGAATTGCCATGATCTCATTAAACAGAGATTGAGGAAGAGTGGGATGAAATTAGGAATTTAAAAACAGATGATTTTGGAATAAGTGTTATAGAAATGAGTCAAAGGTGATGAGAGTAGGCAGACTACCCAGAATGAGTAAAGATTTGAGATGAGGCTAAGTTTTAACTTGTAACTTTGTTAATCAGTATTTTTCTTAGATTCTTGGGATTTTCAAACTAATGTACAATACTGTACTTAAACCCAAGCCTAGTGAGTTAGCAGCTTTAGGGGTAGTAGCTGGAAGTAGATGGGTTATTCATTTAGGAATTTGGATGACGTCAATTTTCTGTTTTGTTTTGTTTTGATACTGGGAATTGAACTCAGGACCTCATGCTTGCCAAGCCCGCACTGTGCCTCTGAACTACATCCCGGGCCCTGAGGAAGTCATTTTAGCTTGGGGTCTTTTAGCATATGTATGCTGACTACTGAAAGGTTTTTTTTACATGTTACCTTATTTCTGACTACCACCATATGGTAGCATTATTTTCCCCATTTTATACATTAGGCAATTGTGTTTTAAAGAGTTTGATTTTCTCAGTGTTGTTTAGCTAATAGTATATCTAGGATAAAACCAAAGTAGTAGGGCTGGGGATGTAGCACAGCAGCACGGTGCCTGCCTGGCAAGCACAAGATCCTGAGTTCAATTCCTGCCCACACCGCAAAACCAAAATAGTTAATTTCAGAGCCTGCCTTTTTAACTACTACTCTGTCTGTCACTCCAGAGGAAGTATAATTAACATAAGCCACGTCATCTGAAATTTTCTAATATTGAAAAAGAAATTTTCTAATAGTAAAAAGAAAACAAATTTAATTTTAATATGTATTATATATGTCTTAGTTTGTTATCACGGAGACACAAT